CAAATCGCAGTTCCTTTTGAATAAAGAATTACATAGAAACCTTGGCAAAGCAACCACCACATACTAAATGGCATAGTTACAATAACGCATGGATTTTTTCACACAGGACCAGCAACAAAATACCACTGAAAAATACAAGGTATCACTGCTTAAGAACAAAATAAATGAACTTAAAAAATGAATTCAGGTGATTTGACAGGGAAAGCTCCTACAGGTTTATCATCATCGCTTGAATTCATTCAGCGAGGAGGATTAAAACTGTCTTAAAAAGGAAAGTTCTCCGGTGTCACTTCACAAAACGATAGGCACACTTGTTTGTAACCACAAGCGAACTGTGGTGAGGTAATAATGCATTTTATTATGCGAAATAAATTGGAATGGCGATTAGAATGACTGCAACAGTGTTTAACCCTCAAGCGAAAATAATGAACGATAAGCTTACATTATATCAATTAAACCTATATTATTCGAACAGACACCAATCAATTTAACAAGGGTTTACGAGACAGAAATCATGATGGATGCATACATTACTTTTCTAACCAAATACAACAATATCTCGGGTAATCAGACAAAAGAACGCCAAGACATTTTCTGTGGCTTATAATCTCAAACAGCAACAAACTGCTAGCAGCACGATTAAGAAGGTATAAAATGGCACCTGTTTAAATAAAAGAAATACATTTTCCAAGAAATCTCAAAAAAGATAAACATTTTCCGAGAGGTAGTCGCATAGTATTGGAAAAGATTTGAAGGTAAAAGAGGAAACGAAGAAGAAGGATTGAAAGAGTGGGCAGAGAATATGAATTACCTGAAAAAGGGTGTGACTTGAATTGAAGAGAAAATAATTTGGAGGACGTAGTTATGTTATAGTGTGCGAAAGAAAAAGATACAGAGAGAGAGAGAGAGAGAGAGAGAGAGAGAGATTCGGACAAGAGAGAGGGAACGTGCTCCGTTCAACAACAACCGAAGTTACGGATCGCCTATGGTTTTCCCTGTAACTGCACTCAACTTCCCTCTTTTTATATTATCCTAAGTCTCGTGTGACGCAGGGAAAATTTTAACTCCAAATATTATACCATTATGCTAAGTTATATTTTTAAGCTAATAAATTAACATAAACAATGTTTTTTGATAAATGAAAGAAATTTATTAAAACTAAGTGTAGAATTATTGACTGCAACATAAATGAAAAAACTTATTTTATTACTTTTAAATTCTTATTATAAATTAAATTCAAGAATGACTTTTACTTGGCCTACTTAAATAAGCAAATAGGGTTAGGAAGGAAATTCACACATGGTAGTTCTCTTTCTTTTGGGTATTATAAGTAATGCATGTGTATACTTCAAAAATATTTTCCTCTTTTAGGATCATTGCTAAGAAATCGTGTGCGTTTCTCTTCTCGCTATCAAATAGAGGAAAAGAATCATGTGAGAATATGCGTTGCTTGACTTGAGATGCTTACCTACGTTGTTGATACGTGTTGCTTCACAATTACAGCAAATCCGTTTGCATTGCTAACAGATTTGTTTTACTTTTCTTCAATGTTCCATCCAAATTCTGCTAATTGTATATTTTTCAGCTCTTTTGTTGAGCATTGGGCTGTTTCTTCTTGCTTCTCTCTTTTTTCTTCCTGCACCCATATAAACTTAACAAAATTATAATTATGCCCTTTTCTTCATTCCCTGCATCTTTTCCAGCAGCGGCACATTTCTTCCAGCGAAGACACATTTTCTATTCATAATCAATCGAACATATAAATAGCATAAGAAAAATAATTGATTCTTAGAGAGTGAATTTCTTTGTCTTGATTTTAATGATTATTGTTTTTCTTATAGTATGTTGGGTATCTATGTTTGGAATAACATTTATCTATAGTATAGTTCGTTTTGTGATAATAGGAGTTGTTTTTCATAATTGGGATTTCTTTCCCTTCCTCTTCACAAACCACGCTAGCCAACACTTACGTCCTTGAGACCTCCAACTTTGTTCTTGCTTCCAATGATTTTGTTTATCTGTTGGCCAATATTTTTGTTTTTATATTTTGATTGATGATGCCAATAACTTCCCTTTTTTACTGCGCGATAAGGGAGAAGACTCGATTGATGTTTGAAAAGGGCTTTATTAAAAGAATTTTTGTTCTTAAAGTATTTAGAGTTATTAAGGTCTTTTAGAATGCATACATGTTTTATTTCTCTATAATTGACATGAATCTTAGATAAATCATAACTACAAGGAACATCATAAGTACAACATAGTATAGGTCTAAGACACTCTAGTTCTTCCCAAAGAATTTTCAAATCAGTAAAAGATTGAGTTACATTTCTGTCTCCTTATTTAATCGAGTGAATGTCTTGAAACAAATATGAAATTTTGAAGAAATCTCCTTTGGATAACGTTTCATTTAACTCATCGCATAAATCTTTTGCGTTTTCTACATAGATGACACTTTCTGCAATCTATGAAGAAAGAATTTTGATAATCCAAGAAAGAACTATCATATTACGCAGTTTCTTTGAGACTTCTTGAAACCTCCATTATGAACTTGAGCTTATTCTTGGATAGAAAAACTTTTTTCATGTCTTGTTCCAAGAAAAATAATTATTTTTATTTAAAGTCTAAGAAATAAGAGTGGACCTGGATTTTTCCAAAGGTGTAGGTAGAAGGGACTAGAGGGATTTAAAGATTGGTCCATTTGATCCATCAGAACAAGAATTAAGAAAGACGATTATCATTATACAACCGATTATTAAAAATAAATATAACAAAAACAAAGAGAAAATAGGAACTAAACTTGGCTCTAATATCATATTACACCTAGCATGACAGTGATAAGACAATGTCACTGCCACATCATAGAGTTACTATCACATGACATGAAATATATTTTATTTTAAAAAAAGATAAACTAACATGTGACACCTATTTAATGTTGTTAGTATAGTACTAACAAAAATGACATAATAATATCAAAATTTTCAAAATAGAAACCAGACACTTGAGATTTTTCTTAAAAAAAAATATAAATGAATGAGCTAATTCAACCAAAAAATAATTATTAAACTTGTTTACAAATAAATTGTTAACTGAAATCAATACGGTTAAACTTTACTCCTGTACCAATGAAAAAGAGGATTTATTTTTTCTGCAAACACTTTATTGTATATTTTAATCTAATCCTAGTTGAAACTTAACCTTAGTAATTTTGACTTTTATTACACAACTTAAAACAGATACAATTTTAACAAAATAATAAATAAAATTTATTTTAATTTTAGTAAATGATAACACACTTTGAAAGTCAATTGCACCATTCATGTTGAAATTAAAAAAAGAATCCAAATTTGTTGGACTTTAGTGAATACATTTTTTAAAGAACAATAACACACTTTGATTTTATGTACATTTATCACATATTTGTTTTTTTCTTTTATCTTTTCTTTTTCTTATGAAATCATATATCTTATAAACGTATAACTTTTATTTTCTCTTTAGGTATATATTCAACCTTGATCAACCATTTTTACATTAATGAATCATATATATATATATATATATATATACACGTGAATTTTAAGAAATAATATATATATATATATATATATATATATATATGTGTGTGTGTGTGTATGTATACCTATACACGTGTGTATGAAGTGATAAAATTACACATTATTCTCGTGTGACATTAAATATCTTTCAATTCCATTATATATTATTTTAATTAAATCAAAATCAATATAAAATACATTTTTGCAAAATATACTATAACATAAATTATCTTATACCTTTATTGTTGTTAGTAATTTTAACAAAATTAAACATAAATTATTACAATTTGATGATTGAATTGGAAAATTTTATTTTTAAAATAATATCATAAATAATATAATATTAGATAAAATATATATTTCAATATCTTATAATTTAAAAAATATCTAAAGCTATAAAATATTTAATTAATATTAATTAGAAATTAAAATATTTATACGAAAAAGGAGGAGACAATTGTTTTTTTTATTACAAGTACTGTTATTTTATTTCAATAGACAGATTATATTACATACTTAAAATGTTTTAATCTTAAATAATTAAAGTATTCGTTTATAAATTTTTAATATTTTCATTTCTTTTAAAAAAAATTCTTCAGCAAGCATAATTTTTTTTATCATAGATATTTTTAAATTACATTTAAAATCGATTCTATCAAGAAGTCTTGCATAATTATCGTTGTTTAAATAGTAGTTCTAAATACTTTTTTTTTCATGTTCTAGCAAATTTAGGATTTCCAACTGCACAGTAGGTTTATCTTAATTCCGTCTTATTATTTCATACTTTTGTCCTATTATTTTATACTTTTGCTTCTTTTCTAAAAGCAAAATTTGTAATTCCCCTGTTTCAATACAAAATAAACATGCCGTTGATCCATTTAAAAGAAAAAAAAGTTCCATTACTCGTCGTACTAATTTACAGCTATCTTTAAGGGTATTTTATGAGATAAACGATTAAACTAATCATTCATAATTTTCATTTTATTTTAATAAACTCTTTAAGTTAAAATAAAGAATTAAAAAAATGATAAACTATATAATTTACACAAACAGTAAATAAAAAGATATCATCCTTTGGTTAAGAAATTAGTAGATGAACACAAATTTTTAAAACAAAGGATTCCACAATACAACTTCAGCCCTTATTTTCCTCACTCTACGCAACAAAGTAACAAAAATCGTTAAATAACTTAAACACATTTTTTTTATTCAAAAGACGAAATTAACTAATCTAATCCAGAATAAATATCCTTGCATCAATAAATATAATAAATATATGTAATATTTTATAATATTTAGTGTTGTATATGGTACAGGAATTTAGAAAGTAAGAAGATATGGTACAGGAATTTAGAAATTAGAAGTATCAATCCAGACTAGCATAGTTTATATAGAAAAAAAAACAAAAAAAAAAAACTGTGTGAACATAGAATTGAGAGAATGGAAGAACAGAAAGGAAGAGAAAAGTGCAGCCATTGATCATGGAATACTTACATCACTAACTAACTAACTCAACCTATCTATTAACAGCGTAAAAGAAAAAGGGGAAACAATTCCCTCTAGGCCCTAACATCATCAACAATACATAAGACCTTTACAAAGCTCAAAGACAAACAGAGATACGAGGTTAGGTATAATACGACATGAAAAAAGGATTGTCGGATTGTGGATTACTGGTAATTAGGTTACCTGGAATGCGGTAAGTGAAGGAATGGTAAAAAAACCACAGGACAGGGCCATCAAACACACAGCCGCCTGTTCCTCTTCTCCCAACATCTTCCACCTCTGTTTCTTCACAACAGAGGATGTCCGGTGCAACACCACCACCTCCTCTCTCTTCCTCGAACAACTCCCTCTCTTCCGGTACCTGATTCCGCAGGCGTTGCACAGAGTCTGCATCAGCAGAATAAAAAAGAAATCAATCAATAATTGAGGCCATAACGAAGAGAAGGATGAAAAACATGAAATAGGAATAAGTGTTGTTGGGCCTTAGGTCCAGCTGGTCCTCCTCTCCACAGAGGAGTCTTGGTGGTTTTGCAATCGGAGCAGCATTTCTTGCTCTCGTTGAGCTCTGGAGAAGACCATTCCTTCAGATCCATCATTACCAATCTGCAATGCAACACTCAATTTATGAATGAATAAAAAAAAACAGCAGTAACCGAATGGATGAGCCAGAGAGTATGAGTGAGGCACCTTACTAATACCGAAACGAATCGCATGCAGCAAAAAGGAAAATGGCCACACAACACAACAACCGACTATGTGAATGTACCTGAAAAACCCTAGTGGTACCCTTGAATGACCGAAATGCCCTTGTGTCTTTACCCTGGCACGTGTCCGTGTGACGTGTCTGGTTCCCCTACTCACACTGGCACGGTGGGTGAATGGAAATTTCAAGAGGGTTGTACGATTGTATTATGAATCTCAGGAATACACAACGAGAATGAAGGATTATGATTGGTTGAGGAGATTGCATTAAAGCAGAAGCTGATTATGCATAACCATGTCTTAGAGATGAGGTTTGGCTTTGCATGGGACCCAAAATATTTGTAATCAGTAGCAACTTTATTATTTATTTTCTCTGCTACCATTACCATTTTCCAAGATATAATGCAATAGTCACTGTAATCTTTTCAAATTTTACAAGATAATTTATGTTCTTTATGTACAAATACAACGATTAAAACCTTGTATATATATTATCAGATGGATAAGTTATTCATTTAGTAAAAGACTTTTAATTTTACACATACAACAACCTGAGATAAACAACATTACAAAGGAGCACAGAGGGAGGTCATGGTATGAAAGAGCTTAAAAATAAAACACGTGGCTGGAATGTACGAATCACGTGCATGATTCTATCACCAATTTGTTGCAGTTTTTAACTTACATGTATAATATACTCCAAACATTTCTCCAACTTTCTTGAAAAAAGATATCAAAATAATGGAAAGACCTGTCTAAGTTACACTCCGATATTATCAAACTCTTCGAAACAAAAAAAAAAAAAAATAGGAATTCAAGGTGGAGGTGAAAAAGGAAAAATATTATCTAGTTAATAGATTGACCATGATTAATTACAATTACTATATAAAACAAGCTCATATTTTATCTTCCTTAATTTTTTTAATAACAACTCATTAATATTTAATTTTTTATTATCTTCTATAGTTAAAAACCTCACAAACTTTTATAATCAAAACATAAAGGGGTCGGCTTGTATAAAATTAATTTGCGAAACTTAGTAGCTAAACTGAATTTAAAAAGGAAAGACTTTAACAATATAATTTGTATACATGGAACTAACTTTATTTTTTTAAGTAATTATTTTTTTACTATGAGAAACTGTAAATAATTTAAAAATTATTCTGATAATTAATACACTAAACTGAAACGAATTTCCAGAGCTATACGCATGGGCAATTAATCATTAAGGAGAACAAAAAAAGGCGTCGGTGAATTGGGAGAGTAGATCTGTGCTCTTTCCGATCTCTCACATCATATTAAACATTATGTTTAAATTTAGTTAAACAGAATTGAAGGAACACAACTACCACTAAATCAGGTTTTGGATAATGTTCTGGAAATAAAATATAAAACATAAATATTTATGCCTTTTTTCTTTCGAAATAAATTTACTTTTTGTTAAATTTATTTTCATTTCATTATAGAATTAGGATCGTATTTCAGTTTTACTCAAATCTTATATTTTCTTAAAGATTATGGTGGGAAGTCAACTACCTTTATTAGACTATTTTTTATTTATTTTCATCAGTCACTTAATTTTATATAATGTCTATCAGGATATACCTTTTTTAGTTTTGAATGAAAGAGTATTTGTAACCATTAAAACCTATCAGAACACAATTCTTAAATTTTAAGCTATAAAATTATTTTTAAAGATATTGAAAGAACTTGTCAATGTTGAAATTTGATAGTTCTTGGTTTGGTGACATTTAATTATGGATCTCGATCATATCTCTTGCAACAATATTAATATGTTTTTATGATGAGTTACATGTCAGTCCAACATCGATTAATATTGTATGTTGGATGCTTAGTCTAAGGTTGATAATCTTTGTATATGTGATAAGTTGTTTTATGAGTCATCATTTTTTCATGTTGGGTATGATAAGATGTTAAGATCAAACAATAAGGCAACAATCAACATAACATAAGATAGTATGGCTAAATACACTAAGGTCAATCTAAGGATTGATGTCCAAAATAAGTTCTTAAGGTCAATGTAAGGTGTTATAACCAATGTAAGATCATATGACAAAAATAAGGAATTAAAACACTAAGAATTATGTACGTCATAATAGGGTGTTAAGACTATCATAAGCTATTATGGTTGAAGTAAGTAGCAGTCGTGGACACCTATAATTAAAATGAACATTATTTGTTTGGTTGTTACATTGTGCTGTGATACAAGCTCATTGAAAAATTTTCATTGAGAATAGTTGAAAATCATTCATATCATGCTCTTCATATCTTTGGTCACGTAAGCTCTAAGAGATTATGAAAAGTCATCATTCTTTTTGTAGATCAATTCATATCTTCTACGAGTCTTCCACCAATCGACAAAACTTTTAACCCTTCTTACATGACTCTTCCTATATTATCCATGTTTCAGTGCCTAGCATCTTACTCCCTCTTTTTTTATGTAGTTCTTTCATCTTCATTTACGACGAGGTTTTGCAAGGTGAGGAGACATGTGTTCCCTCTATCCCTTTTCTTTATGTTAAAAAGTGAATTTTAAGCTTAGTTTAATCTTATAAAATCAACTTGTAAGGTGAGATTTTCATCCACTTATACACTCCAAATTAATTTTATCTCTAGTCGATGTGAGATTTCCAATGTTAATGATAGCATATTTATATTCTCATTAAGCCTTTAATCTTAGATCCTTAATTGGTTTTTATGCTTTAAAAAATCTTTTAATTAAGGTTTGTTATAACTAAATTTATTTAGCATGAGATATAAAAACATGTTAAAAATAGTTTTTGCATTACATAAATGTTCTTTTTTGGATATTTTAAGGTGTTAGAACAGATGCAGCTAAATTGAGTTAATAAAGGTGTGGATAAATTGATTAAAGTTTCATGACAAATCCAAGAACAACAAATAATTAAAACTACAAGAAGTCAATCAAGCATTCCATGAAGAAGACAAGAAAAAAGTGAAGAAATTTGGTTAAGCAAGAAGAGGGATCAAGAAACAAAAGTTGGACCTTGCGATTTTCTCTAATTTTTTTAACAAAAGGCTTTGATAATTAATAAATGTTTATGATAAACAATAATTTAGAGAAAATATATCTTTAGATATTTTATTTGATATTTTTAAATAATTACATTATTTAACTATACTAGTAAATATTAAAAAGTAATATTTGTCAAATCCTTTTGAATCTCGTAAGATCTTCTGAAATCTATTGAGATCTTAAAAACAATCAAATATATCTTGAAAATATTAGATTATTTAAAAGATGATGGGAGGAGATTACATTATTAGAAAGAATATTAAAAAAGACCAAAACAAAGTGCAGTCTAATTTCTATATAAAAAGACTTAGAAAAACACCTTAGGGGGTGCTTAGGAACCCTTTGGGGAGCCTAATTTATATTTTTATTTTATTTCTACATTCAATAGTAGAGATGGCAAAAAAATTTTCGGGCATAAGTATCCGCAGGTAAAATCCGTGGCGGGCAGTTACTATCTGTGGGTAACGGGTAGCGGATATTTTAATACCCGCTTCTAAACGAGTGGGTACGGGTAATATACTACTCAACCCGCGGGTACCCGTTACCCGCAAAAAAATATTAATTTATATATTTTTTAATTAAATTTAATTAAAAATAAAATAAAAGTATATTTTATTAGGTTAAATTTAATTAAAATTAAATTTTAATTTATATTTAACTTAATTTATTATTATATATATATATATATATATATATATATATATATATATTTGTAATTTTATTTAAATTTTATTTTTAATTTTTTTTAAATATTTGTGGATATCCATAAGTATCCGCAGGTATTTTTGAAATAGATATTCACACGGCTAGCGAATAGATGGCAGATAAAATTTTTTGTTGTAAGTCGGATAGTGAGTAGGCTCTATTTATGTCTAATCTGATCCGACCTATTATCATCCTTAGTTTCAACGTGTCAAACAACTTTTTAGACTCACATTTAAATTGTTTACACGATTTAACACATTTCAATTCAAATGTTAGTTTAAAACATCATTTAACATGTAAAACAAAAAAAAATTATTAGATTAAGATAACTATATCCATTCATTTTTAAAGTTTGAAAACAAAGACAAATTTTGATTTCTCATTCAAGTTTAGAGACTACAAAAATATAGTTAATCCTTTTAAACAATTGTTCACAATAAATTAATTTTAATTTGAAAAAATAATTTCAATTTTTCTCCATTTATCTTCCCTTGTTTATAAATACCAAGAGTTACTTTTAATATATTTCTCATTTTTTTATCTATAAAACTTGAAATTTCACTTAAAAATCTAATTTGAAAATTTCAAATCAATTAGAAACATAATTAAATTATAATTTATAAATGAGATATAAACATTATCATATAATTCAATTTTATGATATTATAATCATTCAAAACTTATCATAATCTAGTTTGTTAGAATTATTATGTCATCTACTATTAAAATAAATTTCACATTAATTAAAAACATGATATAATATATAAAAGATATGACATAATATACAAATGTATAGGTCTCACTTTATACATTGATTTTGTGAATTAATATGAAAATAACACTAATTATTTTGACTGTTGACTTGTTAATCAACTATGTTCATCTGAGTCTTTGGTTTTTGTAAGCAATTAGTTATTAGTTATAAAAGGTGACGAGGGAAACCTAGCCTCCTACCATGGCAAGATAGGTATGCCACTTCTTTTGAACATATACACTTGTCATGAAAAGGAACCATTTCAAATAAAAATAAAAATAAAAATAAAAATGTTAAATCAACATGGGACCCTAAACCATGCATCATCGATGAAATAATTGTTGGAAATGTTGTCATCACTTTTTACGATCGTTATCGTCATAAAACTATCACATAAAAACACTATTCTTTCTTGTCTTGCTTCATAAATCTCAAAATTTGTCATAATATGAAAATTTTTCACCCTTCAAGACAATAGGCATAAGAAACCCTCGTGTGTGCTTACACGTGTGCAAA